ATTTATTAATTTACGAGCAGCATCAATTGTCTCTTTTTCAGATATAGAATCTGAACTAATATCAATCAGATTACCATTGTAAAAGTTATTACATGATTCTACGAACTCTTATATAAAGGTAGGTATATTATTTTCAAATATTTATGGTGAAATTTAAAACTAAAAACAAAGAACAACTATTTATCGTACTCTTGCACAGTCTAGTCTACTATAAAATGATGCAGTCTAGACGAAGAGGTTATCACAACAGATATGGTTTATCAACTAATTTTTAAAGATTATAAATATCTATCAATTCCATTTTTCATTTTAGATATGGGATTACATTTAATATTGTTTATATATTTTTATTATTATTATTTAGACGTTTCTCAAAAATTATTATGTAAGAAACTAATAAAATGGTTGAAGATGAAAAAAACAATTTTAATTTAGATAAAATATTATTGATAATGCAATATATTTACAATGATATTATAATGGCGTGATTGAAAGAGTTTCATAGAAAAAAAATACAGTAATATACAGTGTGGTTCAATGAAAAGTATCCATCCCTTTTCTCGGTGATAATGTCTTGGTTAATAGTTGACACATTTACAGTGTTATCCTGTTAAAACTATTCGCCATTTTTTTCTTTTATCTTGTTCCTTACTTTTTTCTTGTCGAAATTTTGCATCGAAATGTTTTTTTATGGGAATTCTGAAATAAACCAACAAATAACATTTAGAAAGTATTAGAAATTAAAAATTTAAAAAAACCGACTTCACACACGTGCAGATGCCATCACCACATCTTAACTAAATTTATATGGGACCACCCCTGAGGTACGTCATTACTAACAAAAAAGAATCCTATAAATCGGACAATACATAAAAACTAAAGAGTTTGAGGATTTTCTCATGGACCCAATTATTAAGTTTTGACCAAATTTATATGGGACCATCCCTGAAAATACCCCCTTCCTAACAAAAAAAGAATCATTGAAATCGGACACCGTGTTAAAGAATTATCGCCTCCTTTTTTGAAGTCGTTTAAAAAACATAAAATTTCGGGATAATTAAGGGATCAATTCTAAAAATCTGATGTGTCCAACACATGACTTTCCTATCTAGTTATATAAATGTTTAGAGGATAAACTAAATATATACATTGTCCACATACATCTACCTCGAAACATTTTTCTATAGATATTCATGGAAAACGAAAATACTGAAAAATTTTAATTTCCTACAATTTTTTCATTACGGTCCATTTTAGAAAAATCATGTATAAACAAAAATTATAGAGATCGATATCGCAAACAACTTTTATTTCAAAAACTTTCATAATAAAAATCAGAATTTTGTACATTTTGTCAAATTTCTCGAATACGGACCATTTCAGGAAATTTTTACATAAAACAAAAATTACAGATAATAATATTAGAAGTAACTTTTATTTGAACAATTTTCCTCTCCAAACATAAATAACATAAATAACAGATATATTTCATAAAATATAAAAACGGCCTCCCATAAAGTACCCCCCCAGATGTTCCGACTTTGTCCAAAATCTAATCATTTCACGTCAGGCCGAAATAAACCTTAAGTTTAAAATTTAATGTTTTTTTCTTTATCCGTTTTTGAGTTTTCTTCAAAATTCGAAATTTACACATTTTCTCAAATATCTCGAATACGGTCCATTTTAGAGAAATTATGTAAAGAATAAAAATTATAGAGAATTATATTACAAACAACTTTTATTTGAACAATTTTAATAAAAAAATATTTTTTTTACATTTTGTCAAATTTCTCGAATACGGACCATTTTAGGAAAATTTTGTATGGAACAAAAATTATAGATAATAATATTAGAAGTAACTTTTATTTAAAGAATTTTCTTCTCCAAACGTAAATAACAGATATATTCCATAAAATATAAAAATGACCACCTATAAAGTACCCCCCCCAAATGTTCCGACTCTGCCCAAAATCTAATCAGCTCATTAGACGCTGAAACAAAGCTTAAGTTTAAAATTTGGTGTTTTTCTGTGTATCGGTTCATGAGTTATGCGTTATACAGACACACACACACACAGACACACACACACACACACACACACACACACACACACACACACACACACACACACACACACACACACACACACACACACACACACACACACACACACACACACACACACACAGACATCATCGCGAAAATAGTCAAAACGGATTCAGGGGACCTCAAAACGTAAAAATCCGTCGAAACTCGAGGTCGAAAAAAATCATGATTCCTATACTTTCCTTATATCTGTATACAGATAGGAAAGTAAAAAATGATAAAAATAAAAATAATCATTTTTCTTACTGAAAAATAATTTTTTTTTGCTATGCCGCCCGCTTTGGACTACCTTGAATAACATAATTTAATAGCTTTAAGTGTATAACGTCCTTTTTCCTCTAGATCCGAATGTCTAAATTAATATTGTAATTTCTTTCAATTAATACCAAAAATTGGAAAAATATTATCCTATTAACGGTGAAAATATTAAACAAACACATCAATCTTTTGTGGTTTCCCCACATTTGTTTCCATACGTATGACGTAAATAGATTCAAAAATCTTTATTTTGTTTTTAGAAATAGGAATTTCCAGTTTTTTGCTATTCATTTCTCGATTTTATATACTCAGTAAAGAAAACAATATTAACAAATTACTGATAAGTGATATTTTACGAAAAATTAATAGCCACTGATAAATCGGCTGTTTGGAAAGGCGCCATTTTGTTATCATTTAACGGGTCAATTGCATAGATGTTACATAATTTCGAAATGCTCTTCTAATAATAATTGTAAAACTCGAAATTTGAAGGAAAACAATGAAATAAAAAATTATTTATCGATTTAAACTGTAAAATTCTTGTATTATTATTGCAAATTCGAATTTTTATGACACATAATTATTTAAATTATTTATGATGTAAATTTAATATTTCATTCAAAATGACTTAGGTAGTTTAATTGCAACTACAATAAAAAAAAATGGTGGATAAATCGTTCTAAACGAATACACAAAAATATACATTCAATCCAATGCCTAAATGACTATCTAAATTTTACAACAAATGCTTGTATTCTATCTTATTTCTCCAGTCTAATAGGACGCCTATCTTTCGAGGTATTTTTTTGTAAATATAAAATATTTGTTTTTTTTAAACAAAATCGCATCAATCTCACAATTAATTTGTAGTGTAGACGAAACATTTTTTGAAAATTTAATTATGAGCTAAACATTCGTAAAGAGTTTTTTAAGCGGTTATCCATACTTATGATAAAAAGTTTCTTTCTAATGTTAATATCTATTAAAAAATCTAAAAAATGTTTTTCTCTGTTTTACCATACGTTCAGTTTCACCCTTATTGGGTTTCATCAGGCAGAGGTAGTCAGCTCAAACAGTAGTTCTAATCTACTCTCAAAATAATTTAACTATTTAAACAATTTTTCTGAAAAGATTCAATTAAAAGAAATAGGGGTAAGAATATTCAACTCACAAACCTTCAAACTATCCCTCTAAAAATTATGTTTTCCTTTGTTTTACTATATGTTTAGTTTCACTCTAATTGGGACTCGTCAGGTAGAGGTAGTCAGCTCAAACAGTAGTTCTAATCACACTCAAAATAATTTGACTATTTAATCAATTTTTCGGAAAAGATTCAATTAAAAAATCTGATGTGTCCAACACATGACTTTCCTATCTAGTTATTATAGGCTTTTTCCGGTTATTTTGTACAACTTATTGCAGCACCTCTATAAATGTTTAGAGGATAAACTAAATATATACATTTTTCACATACATCTACCTCGAAACATTTTTCTATAGATATTCATTTAAAACGAAAATACTGAAAAATTTAAATTTACCACTTTTCCTACAATTTTTCCATTACGGTGCATTTTAGAAAAATCATGTATAAACAAAAATTATAGAGATCGATATCGCAAACAACTTTTAGTTTAACAATTTTCATAAAAATCAGAATTTTGCACATTTTGTCAAATTTCTCGAATATGAACCATTTCAAGAAAATTTGACATAAACAAAAATTATAGATAATAATATTAGAAGTAACTTTTATTTGAACAATTTTTTTCTCCAAACATAAATAACATATATTCCATAAAATATAAAAACGGCCTCTCATAAAGTACTCCCCAGATGTTCCAACTTTGTCCAAAATCTAATCATTTCACATCAGGCTGAAATAAACTTAAGTTTAAAATTTAATTTTTTTTTGTTTATCCGTTTTTGAGTTTTCTTGAAATTTCAAAATTTACACATTTTTCAAATATCTGGAATACGGTCCATTTTAGAAAAATTTTGTATAAAACAAAAATTTTAGATAATAATATAAGAAGTAACTTTTATTTGAAGAATTTTCTTCCCCAAACGTAAATAACAGATATACTTATTCCATAAAATATAAAAATGACCACCCATAAAGTACCCCCCAGATGTTCCGACTCTGCTCAAAATCTAATCAGTTCATTGGACGCTGGAACAAAGCTTAAGTTTAAAATTTGGTGTTTTTCTGTGTATCGGTTAATGAGTTATGCGACACACAGACATCATCGCGAAAATAGTCAAAACGGATTCAGGGGACCTCAAAACGTAAAAATCCGTCGAAAACTCGAGGTCGAAAAAAAATAATGATTCCTATACTTTCCTTATATCTGTATACAGATAGGAAAGTAAAAAATAGGGATAAGAATATTCAACTCACACCTTCAAACTATTCCTCTAAAAATTATGTTTTCCTCTTACTATACGTTCAGTTTCGCTCTAATTGGGACTCGTCAGGTAGAGGTAGTCAACTCGAGAAATAGTTGTAAGATAAATTGACTTTTTTATCTATACATATAAAGGTGCCTTACCATAACCACGCAATATTGACTCACTTTAATTTTATTAAGTATTTATTAATTAATTAAATTAATTATTGTTTCTTTCTTTTTCAGTTACTACTGGACTTTCTTTACTATTCTCGACAAGTCTGTTTGTAGCAATAGTTACATGGTTTACTAGCACATTTGATAATTTTGTACTATCGGTAAGTAGATAATTTTTAAATATATATATATATATATATATATATATATATATATATATATATATATATCGTCGGCTGGACTGCAAAACCTCGTATTTGATATTTTTAAATTATTTGTGTAGTTCAATAGCTCGTATGTGAAAAATGTTAGAAAGTTTTTTATTTTTGTATGTTCAATGTTAATATCCAAGAAGGGAATGTATTTTGAGTTTTAATAAACAAAAGTATAACATTAAAATCGATAATTTATTCTTTCAGACAGGTTTTACCCTCTCCTGTAAAATTATTGGAAACGCAGATACGAGGTTTTGCAGTCCAGCCGACGATATATATATATATATATATATATATATATATATATAATTTCTAAAGTATGCCATTTAAAACATCACGAATGTCGGAGTGTACTGTACAATTTTTCTCTTCTTCTAAATAGTTTAATTCATAAAGGTCCAGAAGAATAGTGTAGGAAAAATTTAAATTATATTTTAAAACCGTGATTTTTTTTTTAATATTAATCCTAATTATTTTGAATATTTCTATCAAAACATCTAAAGGATGTGCCGATTTTTTAAATTGGAACAATATTACCCTACATAATTTTTTTAGCACAAATAACTAAATACTTTTTAAAAGTTTCAAAATGGACCAAACGTTCTAGATAGGATTTTTTTGTACCAAAAATAAATGCTAATTTTCCCTGCAAAATATTGACCAAATAAAAGCTGAATTTAGAATACAATAACTGCAAAATTTATTGCAAATTCACTAGAAAATAAATAATAGGAGTTATAAGTCACAAGAAAACTATCATTTGATATCGGTTCAAGAAAAAAAGGAGTTGCTTTCGAAGTACATTAGAAAATTAGATTATAATACTTTCTAATTAACGAAAATTAGAAGAAAATTATTCTGTAAATGCAATGTTTCGTTATTTTAGCAAATGGTTCTTAAAAACAACAGTGACGCGTTCAGAATGTGGCAAAAACCTTCTGCCAAAGCAATTTATAATATTTATATTTTTAATTATACAAATATTGATGACTATACGAATGGATATGTTGACAAATTAAACCTGAATGAATTAGGACCGTATGCGTACGAGTAAGTATTCAGATTTTGAGCTACTAGATAAATATTTTCTGTTGTTTTTTTTTTTATTTTAGAGAAACACTAGAACGTATTGACATTTCTTTTCCAACTGATGACACTATTTCATTCAGGGAAAAAAGAAGTTACAACTTTATGCCAAGATTGTCAAAAGGACGTGAAAGTGACATGTTGGTTGTTCCGAATTTAGCTGTCATTGTAAGTACATTGTTAAAATTGAATAAAATTACTGTACAATCAAAAAAAGATCTATTTTGGCTTCTCAATTTTTTGAAAATATATTTTTTATTACAGGGTGGATCTGCTGCAACAAAAACACAAGGTTATTTTACAAGATTGGCTTATAACGGTATTCTATCAGCATTAGGTGAAGACGCTTTTCTAAAAATAACTGCAGGACCATTAATTACAGGATACAAAGATAAACTATATGAACTTGCCAAAACGTTTTTGCCTGAAGGTACACCTGATAAAATGGGATTGATGGCTTCGGTAAGTATCTTCAAGTTATTGTATGTGGATTTTTGTGAATAACCCCTATAACAGGCCAGTCTGTAAAGACATTCTATTTTGAGTTTAAATTTGCAACCTGTTCAAAAACGGATGGTTTAGAAACATATTAAAGACGGTCCTGTACTCGCGAACTCAGGTGTTCATTGTTGACGACTAACAACAAGGGTCTATATGACAAGAATCATGTACACCAAACGTCTCCCGTGTGAAAAACGATTTAAATATCTCTCTATAAATAAATGCAAATTTGCAACGTTCCATGATTAATGCAAAACTTGTAAATTGTCTATGAGAGCAATTTTGTATTGCGAAATTAACAGAAAAGTATCTAGAGGAACAAAAAAAATATTCATAAGCAACATGGAAATTAGTGTTCCTAGGTATGTTGGACCTCGAACCTACAGCAGATTCCCAAAATCTTTTGACAACACTTGGTCTTCTTGACGATTTCACTTGGCTGACGGTGGGTTGATTCTTCTTAAATGAGGAGGGTTGAAACTCTATAGATGATGAGGGTTGACTCTCTGTTCGCACGAAAGGTTAATTATCTCTAGATAAAGGTAGTTGACTATTCGATGGCTGCACATTAGTATTTTCCTCTGGACTTTTATCCATTTGGATTTAATCTGGGATGAACGGAATATCATCGTCTAAGATTGATACAATTTCTTCATCTATACGGTTGGACTTTGTTCAAAACGTTGACCGGCTCGTGGATCAAATTGTAGTGGATAGTGCCGCAGGCAAAGTTGCCCCTGGCCCGCACTAAAAATCTTTGACTTTTAAATAGAACACAAGAACATTTTAAAAATATATTTTGAGTTTTTATTTTCACGCAACTATGATGCTGAAGCGTGTAGGCTTTCAATCACGTGTATTATCATAGATATTAGTTGGCCGTCAACAATTTACTCGTCTCTTTTCAACTTCAAAGCGGGTATAATGCTGTTATATATCTCTATCCACTTGCAATGCATTTTTCTTTGTGGATTGCCTTATAACTCGCGAGTTCAATTTAAAATAAGGTCAAAAGAATGAATTGTTATTAGACATTAGTAATCATATCCCCATTGGTAATGATTAAATGCATAATATAAGAATTTTATATTACATTATGATTTTTTTTTTTTTAGAAAATTGGAGAATCCTCTTCAATATTTACTATTAACACTGGAGAAAGAGATATGAATAACTATGCAATGGTGCAAGAGGTAGATGGAAAAAGTGAATTAGACTATTTTTCTGGCAATACTTGTAACAGGTAATATATCTATTTCTAAAATTTATATATACATATATACATCCTTCTATCAATACTGCGTCATTTAAAATTGGGTATATATTATATTAAAATTGTATTTTCAGTGTGAAAGGTACCGATGGAGCACTACAACCTCCAAAGTTGGTCCAAAGTAAGCAACCTCTTTACTATTTTTTCCCTCAAGCTTGTCGCAGAATGCCTTTGAATTTCGAAAAGGAAACAACCGTTTTGAATGGCAAGGTACCCGCCTATCAATACGTTCATCCTGAAGACATTTTTGATAGTGTCGAAGAAAAACCTGAAAATGGATGTTACTGTAACATGGAAAATGGGCAATGTCCACTCAAGGGGGTGTTTAATGTCACAATGTGCAACTATGGTGAGTCTACAATAAGAAATAATAATGTAAAAATTATAATATATATTTCTTTTTAGATGCCCCTATGTTCATCTCGCATCCACACTTTCATAGAGCAGATCCACGCCTTTTAGAACCCTTTACTGGTCTGCGCCCCAATGGAGGAGATTATAAGACTTATTTCAAAATCCACCCCACTATGGGTTTTACCATGAGTGCTAAAAATAGTTTGCAAGTAAATGTTCAACTGCAGAAGGCTGCAAATGTGGCTAAACTTGATGCTTTTGAAGACGGCATGATTTTTCCAGTTGCTATTTTAGAAGGGGTAAGTTAAACTCAGATTTGATAATTATTAAATAATAAATTTATTTTTCTTTTAGGTTCTCGATGATAATACTCTACCTCAAGATATTATAAATACTATTAATTTAGTTACTTTTACAGCACCGACTATAAAGTTAGCTATACAATACGGGTCACTGCTAACCTCAATCATTACTTTAGTATCGTTGGTTTTAGTTTTAAGGAGAAAATCTAGTAATATGCAAAGATCGCATACTGATAGGCTGATACGAACGAATGAAGGATATTATGTAGCAAGTTAACGTATAGGTTAATTTAATGACAATTCTGAATAGAGAACTCAAGCTCAGAGATGAAAATTCGAAAAATGAAGCATATAAATGAATTTGAGAAAGTGAAATTATAAAAAAAATTGAAATTTTGAGATATATAGGTAAAATTTTGAGAATATAACGTCAGAATGTTGACTGGAAAAATTAAAAGGTTTATAAGTAAAAAAATTATGTCAAAACATTTTAAAATAAGTTTTATAAAGTAAAAAAAGTTTGAAAAACAAAGCAACAATTTTGAGAAATTATTCAAGATTTTCAAAATTATTATTTGGAGAAAATAACGTCAATATTTTGAAAAAAATAAAAAATTTTGGTGAAGTTAAAATTTTGAGAGCACAAAGCAAAAATTTTGGAAAATGAAGTTCATATTTTGCGAAAATAACGTTAATATTTTGAAAAAAAATCAAAATTTTCAAAAAATTGACATTTTGAGAAATGTAGGCCATATTTTGAGAATATAACGACAAAATTTTTAAAAAACATTTCAATGTTTATAAATAAATGATAAAATTTGAGAAAATAGTGTTCAAACTGGAAGAATTTTAACATTTTGATAAAGATACAATTTTGAGAAAATAACGTCAATATTTTGAGAAAAAAAATTAAAATTTAAAAAAAAATGACATTTTAAGAAATATAGGTAATATTTTGAGAATATAACGACAAAAATTTGAGAAAATAGTGTTAAAACTGGAAAAATTTTAACATTTTGAGAAAAACTCAAAAATTTTTAATCAATTTTAAAATTTTGAGGAAACAAATCAAAAAATATTAGAAAATTAAGTCAATATTTTGAAAAATAACGTTAATATTTTGAGAAAAAATTAAAAATTTTGTTAAATAGTTATTTTAAAAAAAATGTCAAAATTTCGAAAAAATACCGTTAAAATTTTAAAAAGCTGATATTTTGAGAAATATAGGTAATATTTTGAGAATATAACGACAAAAATTTGAGAAAATAGTGTTAAAACTGGAAAAATTTTAACATTTTGAGAAAAACTCAAAATTTTTAATCAATTTTAAAATTTTGAGTAAACAAATCAAAAAATATTAGAAAATTAAGTCAATATTTTGAAAAAATAACGTCAATATTTTGAGAAAAAATTGAAAATTTTGTTAAATAGTTATTTAAAAAAAAATGTAAAAATTTCGAAAAAATACCGTTAAAATTTTAAAAAGCTGACATTTTGAGAAAAACTCAAAATTTTTAATCAATTTTAAAATTTTGAGGAAACAAATCAAAAAATAGAAAATTAAGTCAATATTTTTAAAAATAACGTCAATATTTTGAGAAAAAATTAAAAATTTTGTTAAATAGTTATTTTAAAAAAATGTAAAAATTTCGAAAAAATACCGTTAAAATTTTAAAAAGCTGATATTTTGAGAAATATAGGTAATATTTTGAGAATATAACGACAAAAATTTGAGAAAATAGTGTTAAAACTGGAAAAATTTTAACATTTTGAGAAAAACTCAAAATTTTTAATCAATTTTAAAATTTTGAGAAAACAAATCAAAAAATATTAGAAAATTTAGTCAATATTTTGAAAAAATAACGTCAATATTTTGAGAAAAAATTGAAAATTTTGTTAAATAGTTATTTTAAAAAAAATGTAAAAATTTCGAAAAAATACCGTTAAAATTTTAAAAAGCTGACATTTTGAGAAAAACTCAAAATTTTTAATCAATTTTAAAATTTTGAGGAAACAAATCAAAAAATAGAAAATTAAGTCAATATTTTTAAAAATAACGTCAATATTTTGAGAAAAAATTAAAAATTTTGTTAAATAGTTATTTTAAAAAAATGTAAAAATTTCGAAAAAATACCGTTAAAATTTTAAAAAGCTGACATTTTGAGAAAAACTCAAAATTTTTAATCAATTTTAAAATTTTGAGGAAACAAATCAAAAAATATTAGAAAATTAAGTCAATATTTTGAAAAATAACGTCAATATTTTGAGAAAAAATTAAAAATTTTGTTAAATAGTTATTTTAAAAAAAATGTCAAAATTTCGAAAAAATACCGTTAAAATTTTAAAAAGCTGACATTTTGAGAAATATAGGTAATATTTTGAGAATATAACGACAAAAATTTGAGAAAATAGTGTTAAAACTGGAAAAATTTTAACATTTTGAGAAAAACTCAAAATTTTTAATCAATTTTAAAATTTTGAGAAAACAAATCAAAAAATATTAGAAAATTAAGTCAATATTTTGAAAAATAACGTCAATATTTTGAGAAAAAATTGAAAATTTTGTTAAATAGTTATTTTAAAAAAAATGTAAAAATTTCGAAAAAATAGCGTTAAAATTTTAAAAAGCTGACATTTTGAGAAATATAGGTAATATTTTGAAAATCTAACGACAAAATTTTGGGAAATGAAGTCAAGATTTTGAGAAACTCTAAAACAGAAAATGTTTATTTTATAAATACGCCCAAATGAGATATAAACAATAAAATGGCTGCGAACATAGTTCTATTGACACAACATGCACATTGGCTTTTTATCTCACTCTAGTGCATTGGTAAGACAGGTTATGATACAGCAACTCTGTTAGTGGTGATTTTGACAGTTTCACTGATATACAGTGGCGTCTTTTGGACGTCAGAACCCCCCTTATAGTTCTCAAAAACCCTTCCCACTGCTGATATAGATTGATCATCCATGCTTGATTTGAGTTTTCTGTTCTGGAAGTATTGTGCTCAATATTTGAACGTGTTTTGTTTTTACTGCTATTAAAAAAGTTTTTGTGAAACTTGTTGTTACTTAAGATCGTTCATTATTTATTTTTTTAATTTTTTTGTATTTTTTTTTGTACCAAGTTACAAGAGAGCCGGGATCTTATTATACCCTAAATATTGAAAATTATTGATCATGGTACATTTGAATTGCCTTCTATACTAAATTTATAGTATTGGGGATAATCCAAAAATGTTCTATTCTTATTTTATTTTAATTTTAATTGAAAAAAAAATAATTGAAACGGGTTGTAATTTCCTAAATTATTTTTGATATTTTATAAATACTCACTTGTTACGTTTGTGTCAATTACTGTTGTAAATTTTTATAGGTATAATTTTTTTACAAATTGTTATAATTGCTAAAAAATAAAAATTACATTCTAGAAATAGTTTTTTATGCTTTTTTTCTCAAAACAAAAATTACGTCTTATATTAGAGTGGTATTTAAAAATTAAATTTTTTCCGACACCCTAAAAAAATTCCTTTTTTCTAAACAATAAAGTTTATTTTTTCATAAAATCGTAGTTTTTTATAATATCTCTTAAAGTAGACGGATTTGAGAAAAAATCATTGAAAGCAATTTTGTAGGAAATAAAATTGTCTACAAAAAAGGTCTCTTTTGATTTTTTCATAAAGTTCATATTTTTGGAGATATTCATAATATAAACTCATTAACTTCATTTTTATATTTTTAGCTCTATATAAGATTTGAATAATGAATTGCTTCTGATCTTCATCCTTTGTAAACTTATCATTATACTCTTGTATCAATTTTACATCTCTTTCAGCAACATGTCAAAACTTACTAACATTTCAAAATAAATTTTATAAAGTAAAAATTTTGAGAAAACAAAATAAATATTTTAAGTAATAAATTTAAGATTTTGAGAAAATAATGTCAAAATTATTAGGAAATAAAGTTAATATTTTGAAAAAATTCTAAATTTTGATAAAAAAAAAATTTTGAAAAAATACCATTAAATACCATTTAAAATTTTCATAAAAAAATGCGGGAATTGTTTTTTTCAACAAGTCGATTAATGTTTATTTTTTCATAAAATCGTAGTTTTTCAAAATATCTTTTAAAGTAGAGAAAAAATCATTAAAATTCCCTACAAAAAGTTTTTTTGATTTTTTCATATCTATATAAATTACTCAAGCGCCAGATATATTAATGTATTTTGCACCACTATCTAATACGACATTAAATATTCTTGTAAATATTTCAAGAATTATGGTCTTGTTGATTGAATAACGTTTCGAAAATCTACATCAGTGTCGCCTTTAGGATATTTCTACAAATTTAAGTAGTGGTCCTATATATTTCAGTTTTTCATACTTATTAGAATGGACCTTTTGAAGGTGTCACCACAATTTATTGTAAATATTTCAAGAATTGTGATCTTGTTGATTGAATAACGTTTCGAAAATCTACATCAGTGTCGTCTTCAGGATATTTTGAATCATTCCACAAATTTAAACAACTAAATAAGGTTTAATATTTTATTATTTCAATACAAAATAATAACGTCAATGTTATTTTGTAATTCTCATTGCTTCTTTGATTAGAGAATTCCAGTGTTTGCACCTACATTCACTCCAAGTAGACCTGATTGTACATTCGGATATTGTCCTCTATAGACGTTAGGACATGTACAATAAGTTTGTCCAGCGACCCTTCTCAATCCATGAACAACAGCAAAGTAACGGTACAAATCTAACGATGGAACTCCACAAACTTTTTCACCTACAATTAAAATATATATAAATAAATAATTAAAATATAGCAAGCAATAAATGAAATGTAATATTATTAATAATAATAGAGGTCTGTTTAGGTATAGGTATAGGTATAGGTATAGGTATAGGTATAGGTATAGGTATAGGTATAGGTATAGGTATAGGTATAGGTATAGGTATAGGTATAGGTATAGGTATAGGTATAGGTATAGGTATAGGTATAGGTATAGGTATAGGTATAGGTATAGGTATAGGTATAGGTATAGGTATAGGTATAGGTATAGGTATAGGTATAGGTATAGGTATAGGTATAGGTATAGGTATAGGTATAGGTATAGGTATAGGTATAGGTATAGGTATAGGTATAGGTATAGGTATAGGTATAGGTATAGGTATAGGTATAGGTATAGGTATAGGTATAGGTATAGGTATAGGTATAGGTATAGGTATAGGTATAGGTATAGGTATAGGTATAGGTATAGGTATAGGTATAGGTATAGGTATAGGTATAGGTATAGGTATAGGTATAGGTATAGGTATAGGTATAGGTATAGGTATAGGATATAGGTATAGGTATAGGTATAGGTATAGGTATAGGTATAGGTATAGGTATAGGTATAGGTATAGGTATAGGTATAGGTATAGGTATAGGTATAGGTATAGGTATAGGTATAGGTATAGGTATAGGTATAGGTATAGGTATAGGTATAGGGTAGTACCGTCGACACCTTCCCAGACAGAACGAAGTGAGTTGCCTTGAGTGTCTAATGTGCGTGTTGGCTAATTCTCATGCATTGTGTTCTATCGGTGATCATTTGGTAAATAAATAATTATTTGACTTGATAATTAATCAAATCTAAGGTATAAGTAAAAGTATAGAGCAGTAGAGCATATTTAATACTGCTTTTGTTCAACAGATAGCGTACAGGTTTTCTAATGGTTTTTTTTGAAGAATGTCTTTACATAATCTTCCAAGTTTTATTTTAATAGAATTTGATGTGAAATAAGGGTTGGTATTACCACGTATTTTTAAGTTTTGTCCCAGTGGTTTTTTGTATATTGTCCTAAATTTATTATGGCATCTATTGTAGTTAAGCATTTTTTTTTTAAGAAATAAATGGTTGTTTGTGCAACAAGAGTGGATATGATGACCATATCGTACGCAAACGAAGTTTAAGCACGGTCATGGTCTTTTCGCATGGAAGGCAGAAGCTTTGTCCAGGCAGAAGCTTTGTCCTCACTTCCACCGCCACATTCAGAATTTTAAATTTAATACTCGTAATTAAATTAGTTGTTTAAATGAGATGTGGACCAAACAGAAATGCTATTATTTATCGATTCTACATAAAAATAATTTATTTTAACATATATTTAATCTCAATAACTAATAAATATACTGAAAAATAGTTTGACAGAAAAAACTACTTTTTAACTCTGTTTTCAAAATCACTTTTTAAATTTTTTTTTAAGAGGGCAAAAAAAAGTAAATTTTATTCTCCAAATCTTATACTTTGAACTGGTAGAAAAATAATTTTAATACATTTTGTGGAATTTAAATGCTTCTTAAATACTTCTTATAACATTTTTTTACTTATAAATAAATTGTGGCTCATAAATAATAATTACTACTAGTATTAATCAATATTTTATCAATTGCAATGGTTATATGTAACACTCAACACATTTAAAAATGTTATCATTACAACCAGTTGCGAACCCAAACGATTTTGAAATTAAAAAAGTTTATGTAAGTAACAGAACCTCCCCTAATGCAAAATTCTGGCTGCGCCACTGCTCCCAACTTATACCGTTTAATTAATTAAATAATATATTTACCAATTCCAAGAATGTCACCCAAAGCACCGCCAACACTTGACGTAACTTGAATTACAGTTTTTTCTACTCCAGCTACAGGACCATTATTAAGTACGTCTACAGAAACAGCGGTTGTTGCCAAAACAGCAATAGTCAGTAAAACCTACAAATAATTTATAATAATCATTAAAATTAAATTGGAATAATACAACAGAAATTTAAGAAATATAACTTATATAAAACTTACAAATTTCATCATAATTTGTATTTTTTTAAACGACCTAAGAGGTGTGATGAATGTTTAACAAATTAAATATTGAATCTCTTATATAGTTGTTTTAATTATTATTATTATTATCCTAATTACTTTTTAAATGAGATCTTATTTAAAAATAACAAGATCCAGTATATAATTTGAATTTAAGCACCAAATAAAAAAAATTATTGATTTTTAATCGTCAATCGAATAAACTTTGTTTTTTAGATAAATCAAATTAGAATCCAATGTTTCCAAAAGAAAACTAATTAGTTTTTTAAATTTTTGAGGCATTTACTGATAAGATAATTTTTTTGTGGTTTGGTTTTTAAACAATTTTACCAAAACAATAAAAATTTAAGTATACAGAATGTAACAAAATTTATAGGAAATTTCTCGAATTCAGTTAGAACAGATAAAAATAACACAAGTTCCTTTTTGGAGATATCACTTAAAATTATTTTTTATTTTATTAATTTTTAATTTTTACTCTCTGAATAAAAGATATTATACAGGGTGTTCCATCTCAGACGAGCCACCTAGGTCAGTCAATGAAGACATCCTAATTTGAACACATTCTATTTAAATGAAAGCAAAATTACTTAGTCGGTTTTGCCCCATGGTCAATCTTAAATAATTTTTTATTATTTTAAGTTTTGAAAAAGATTGTTCTGCGGTAGCAACCGAAACAGGCATTGTTAATAAAATACAAAGTTAGGAAAAGAATCCACTAAGTTGTTAACTGTTATATAATTGTTTCTTCTGTAATAACTTTTTCATCAAAATTTTGTCGTTTATTTCAAACAGAGCATCATAAACCTCCCCAAGTTAATACCTGTCATTATTTAAACAGATTTCTTTAAGTCCTCTGATGTATTTTAAAGATTCGTTTAAATAATGACAGAAGTAAAGAAAAAAATATTTTAAAGACATTGAGCCTCGTGTTTATAACCCATCCTACGCTGCGCAAGCGCGGCCACAGAGAACGTTTAAACGAGACACATGACGTTAACAATGTCATCTATCAAATATCATAGTGCGTTCGAAAGCATTTTTTCAACAATTTCGACATTTTTTAACGTTTCAAAAACGTCGTTTTTGACGTTTTTCAACTTTTTTCGGAGTTTTTCAATGTTTTTGACGTTTTTCCATATTGTTTCCATTTCGGAAATGTCGTTTTCGACGGTTTTAAACGTTTTTTGACGTTTTTTTCGGCGGGTTTCAACGTTTTTCAACATATTCGAGACCTTTTGACGTTTCGAAAACGTAGTTTTTGACGTTTTTCGATGGTTTTTGGACTTTTTCAACGTTTTCGACACTTCTTAAAAGTTATTTTTGACGTGTTCCGATATTATTCAGGGTAACAGTGGTATTATAGACGCTCCTGAAAATGTTGTAAAAGAGTTTAATAATTTTTTTGTCAATGAGTCGGTTAACATAGTACAAAATATAGTACCTATAGTACCTACTATTGAAACATGCATGGATTTTAATACAAGCAGTCTTTTTCTTTTTCCCTTCAGTGAAGATGAATTGTCTAATATGCTTAATAAAAAAATGAAAAACAAAAAATCGGCGATGTTTCTTGTTTCCTCATAAAAAGAGTCCTTACGTTAATTATATCTCCAATTACTTTTCTAATAAATATTGGCGGCCTTTAAAAATATTTCCGTATTCGTTAATTTACTTCTGTCATTATTTAAACAGATTTCTTTAAGATAGTCCTCTAATGTATTTTAAAGACCCGTTTAAATAATGACAGAAGTAAAGAAAAAAATATTTTTAAAGACATTGAGCCTCGTGTTTATAACCCATCCTACGCTGCGCAAGCGCGGCCACAGAGAACGTTTAAACGAGACACATGACGTTAACAATGTCATCTATCAAATATCATAGTGCGTTCGAAAGCATTTTTTCAACAATTTCGACATTTTTTAACGTTTCAAAAACGTCATTTTTGACGTTTTTCGACTTTTTTTTTCGGAGTTTTTCAACGTTTTGACGTTTTCCGACATTTTTTCAGTGTTTTTGACGTTTTTCCACATTGTTTACGTTTCGGAAATGTCGTTTTCGACGGTTTTAAAACGTTTTTTGACATTTTTTTCGGAGGCTTTCGACGTTTTTCAACATATTCGAGACTTTTTGACGTTTCGAAAACGTAGTTGTTGACGTTTTTCGGAGTTTTTCAACGTTTTCGACACTTCTTAGAAGTTTTTTTGACGGTTTTTGACGGTCTAGGAGCAGGAATAATTGCAAACATCAAATTGTAACTGAAAGAAATTTTCCTTATGCAAACCTAGCGGTTTACATTTTAAAAATATTAAATTGCTAAACAAGGATTCAATCAAATGATCGAATTAAAAATTTGTCGCCCTCTATCTTCTTATATCACTTCTGCCTTACACACGGTACCCAAAAAGTATTCAAACGATTGGAGACCGTGTAGAGATTATAGATGTTTAAATAAAGTGACAGTTCTTGATATATAAGCTTGATTTCTGATCTTAATTTTAAATGTTATAGCTGTAACATCTCAGAAATCATCACGAATTTCAATTATAAAAACATTTGGTTTATCTAGATTGAACTGGTGCAACTTAAATTGTCCTGGTGAAAATTTGAATCAGTGGGACAAAATCGGGTTTTTTATTAAACTTAGAAATTTTCTTTGATCTATTTAGAAATGCATGCATGCAATTCCTTAAATTAATAATACATTTTTTAGTTTTTTTCATCTGTTATAATTAAACAACTTTTAACTATTAGATAGGTACTTAAAATTAAATTAAGTATCAATAATTGTTTGTAGTCGGTACCTGTTTTTGATAACAATATTCTTCTGTCCTTAAAATCTAATTAATCTGTAATGAAAGAAAATTAGTTCGGATTCTATATATAAGAATTTTTTTTTAAACCAGATACTCATTGGTTACTTTTTCTAATTACTGTGTTTTAAGGAAGAAAAAATGTTGAAACTGGTAAGTAAAAGATTTTATTTCATATATATAAATAAATTTTACATTTGAATTTAAATTATAATAAAAGAGATATGCTTTTATTTTATTTTAATTACATTTTTTGATTATATAAAGAATATAATTGCTTGCGTTTTTGCAGTTTAGCACGCTTTTAAGCTTTTTTTTGATGGTTTAGTTTATGGCAGACCCTACTCCCTTTTTTACTAATATGTTTATAACATTAAACATTAGTGGATAATGGGCGCCTTGAGCCCATTATGTTTATAGCCCCCCTACGCTGCGCAAGCGCGGCCACAGCTCTGAAGTTGGCTAACCTACCGTGTGTCAAAAGAGTTGCCAACCTAGCAGTGTTACCAACTGTCATTCGTCACCTATAAGTAGGATGTTTGTTTTGGGCGGATTTTGTATTTGTGATTTTTTAAACTATTTTTAGATAATATTCTCATTGTAATAGTGTTTTTGAGTTTCATTTAGTAATAATTTAAGTTTAAGTCTCGTGCTTTCGTCATAGTTATAATATTTATCATGTTTTTCAACGTTTTCGACACTTCTTAGAAGTTTTTTTGACGTTTTCCGACATTTTTAACGTTTTAAGGCTTTTTTACTTTTTTTTTTACATTTTGAAAACGTCGTTTTTGACATTTTTATAATTTTTTAATGTTTTTTTCACGTTTTTTGACGTTTTTCAACATATTCGACAATTTTTGATGTTTCAAAAACGTCGTTTTTGACGATTTTCGAAGTTTTTCCGGAGTTTTTCAACGTTTCGACGTTTTCCGACATTTTTTCAATGTTTTTGACGTTTTCCACATTGTTTACGTTTTAGAAACGTCGTTTTCGACGGTTTTAAACGTTTTTTTCTTTGGCGTTTTTTTTGTGGGTTTCAACGTTTTTAACAATTACGAGACTTTTTGACTTTTTTAAAACGTAGTTGTTGACGTTTTTCGATAGCTTTCGGAGTTTTTCAACGTTTTCGACACTTCTTAGAAGTTTTTTTGACGTTTTCCGACATTTTTAACGTTTTAAGGCTTTTTTACTTTTTTTACATTTTGAAAACGTCGTTTTTGACATTTTTATAATTTTTTAATGTTTTTTTCACGTTTTTTGACGTTTTTCAACATATTCGACAATTTTTGATGTTTCAAAAACGTCGTTTTTGACGATTTTCGAAGTTTTTCCGGAGTTTTTCAACGTTTCGATGTTTTCCGACATTTTTTCAATGTTTTTGACGTTTTCCACATTGTTTACGTTTTAGAAACGTCGTTTTCGACGGTTTTAAACGTTTTTTTCTTTGGCGTTTTTTTTGTGGGTTTCGACGTTTTTAACAATTACGAGACTTTTTGACTTTTTTAAAACGTAGTTGTTGACGTTTTTCGATAGCTTTCGGAGTTTTTCAACGTTTTCGACACTTCTTAGAAGTTTTTTTCGAGGGTTTTTGACGTTTTCCGACAGTTTTAACGTTTTAAGGCTTTTTTTACTTTTTTTACGTTTTGAAAACATCGTTTTTCACATTTTTAAAAATTTTTAATGTTTCTTTACGTTATTTGACGTTTTTCAACATATTCGACATTTTTTGATGTTTCTAAAACATTGTTTTCGACGTTTTTTGCCGTTTTTTTCGACTTTTTTAAACAAAAATTTTGAAAAACGTCGAAAAGAACGTCAAAAAACGTTGAAAAACTTACAAAATACGTCTAAAATGTTAAAATGTCCATATTCCACATGTTTTCTTCTTCTTTTAACACATACTTGATTGCCATTTGTTAATTTTCCTTCGTAATAAGTGATATGAAGGTTTCTTAACTTAAATGTCGTAGTATGTTGACCTACATACCCTTTAACTTGTGTCCTAATCAGTTCAATGGTATTTAGTTTGCAGTGATAGGGAGGAAGACGCACAACATTAATACCATGTGTTTTTGCAAGTTCATTCACTACATAGCCTACTGAAGACTTATTTAATTTCACAATTTCTAGTAGTTCTAACGATTTATAAGCCTCTCAGATGTTTATGCGCCCTAGAAAAGCTTCGCTCCTTCCACCCTTTGACCCTCGCTACTTTGCTGTTGATTACATAAACTATTTATTAAACAAATTATATAATATTAATAAATATTTATTTTTAGGTGATCTTTGGACTATTTTTAGGCTATGCAGCCGCCTCTCCTGGCTTTATTAATGGCCTTGTTAATAATGTAGCTCATACAGTAGACAACATAGGAACTGGAGCTGGAACTTTAGTCGATAATGTAGTTGACACTTTAGTTGGAACAGGTGAGATTCTATTTTGCTAATATTCAAAACGAGTTAGCAAAAATGTGTTAATTTTATTTTGAAAAACATTGATGATCAATCTATATTATAGTCTACATCATTGATCCTGTCAAATGACCAGGTTTACAGCGTTGCCATATCCTTACCCATTTAAAAAATTAAAATAAAATTATTATAAAACCATTTTGATAGAAGAATTGTTTTCCAATATTTCTAAATCTGACTTTTAAACAAAATAGTATTAAATTTTTCTGATATTTATTATTTTTTTCGTTCTAGGTTGCAACGTCCAATTAAATCTTCCGCAAATGGTTAATTATTTTCAATATGTACTTGGGGTACAACGCATGGATGTTAATAATTTGTATTGTTCTTGTCCACAGATATTTAACTCACCTACATTTTAAAACGTTAGAATTGCATGAGTTTAATAACAAAGTATTTGATATTAATGCTCACAAAAAGTTTATGATAATAAAAAAATATTAAATTTTAAATGACTTTCATTTCAATGGTTGTAGTTATTAAAAATATTGAAAAATGTATGGGACCAAAAATTGTTTCTTTATTTTTATAATGATTCAAATAAGTTTTTATCAAGTAGGAAAAATTTATAAATGATTTTTTCTTGATTTTGACCGTTTTTTTGGAGACTTAGACTTTGCTGCGGTATTTCCTTTTTTTAATTTACTTTTCGATCTTGACCGTCTTTTGATTTTTCTCTTCGGTATAGCGCCTGAACTAGAAGGCACTATTTTATCTGTTTTTAACGTTTCTGGTAATCTGGCAAAAGATTCGTATCCGTATTTGCAGCAGGTTTTACCTAAAAATCAGAAATATTGTTACCAATTTTTTTTTTTTTTTTAATTAAGTAAATTCTTACCATTGCAGAACTCTTCTCCACATTCAGTACATGATATCACTCTCATTTCAACAACTCCAGATTTATTTTTTGTTTTCTTAATCTGTGTATCTATTTGAAATTGTTTCTTTTCTTGAAGTTTACTTTTGTTTTGTAATTTTCCAAGTTCAATCATTCTAAAAATAAAACCATAATAATTTTATATGTATATATAAAAAAACAATGAAACAATAAAAACAGATAATAAGCAATAAAAAACAATAAAAAAACAATAAAAAACAATAAAAAACAATAAAAAACAATAAAAAACAATAAAAAACAATAAAAAAAACAATAAAAAACGAATAAAAAAACAATAAAAAATGAATAAAAACAATAAAGAACAATAAAAAACAATAAAAAACAATAAAAAAAACAATAAAAAATAATAAAAAAGAATAAAAAAACAACAAAAAAAAAACAATAAAAAAACAATAAAAAACAATAAAAAAAACAATAAAAAAACAATAAAAAAAAACAATAAAAAACAATAAAAAACAATAAAAAAAAAACAATAAAAAAAACAATAAAAAACAATAAAAAAAACAATAAAAAATAATAAAAAATAATAAAAAACAAAAAAGATCTGATAAGTATAAGAAAATTAGGACAACTATATAAGGCGATGATATTGACGTCGCACGGTTTCAGTTCATCATATCTTAAAGTAATAGTTGTAAAAAACCAATAAAAAACAATGAAAAACAATAAAAAACAATTAAAAACAATTAAAAACGATTAAAAAACAATAAAAAAAACGATAAAAAACGATTAAAAAAACAATAAAAACAATAAAAAAACTATAAAAATTTGGTCCAGTTATATAAACCAAAAGGACAATTATTATTATTTCCATTCAAGTAGGACCTTTTTTGATCAAATACGATTCCTGTCATCGTCATTTTAAATTTTTTGAAACTCATTTAGGATCTGTAATCTTTGGCTTCTAAAATTTTAGTCGAAATCTGACGTCTTTTAAAACTAATTTTTATTTTAAAAACTACTCATCCTGTATATAACTGATCAGAAGTATAATTGGTTTTTAGACAGAAAGGAATCTTATCTGTATACAAATTTTGAAGTTTTCCTATAAAGCCGTTTTAGAGCTATCGCGCCAACAGACAGACAGACCGACGGAATGGGGAAACATGTTTTTTGTAATTTCGGAACTCTAAAACGTGAATATCTAAAATAATTTCGAACAATGACTTTTTCATGATTACAATACTTCCTTTTCATAGAGAGAAGTAAAAGTAAAACCAATAAAAAACAATAAAAACAATAAAAAACCATTAAAAAACAATAAAATATATTAAAACACAGTGAAAAACAATAAAAGACAATAAAAACAATGAAAAACAATAGATAAACAATAAAAAACAATAGAGACCAATAGAAAACAATAAACAAACAATAAAAAAAAACAATAAAAAATAAACAAACAATAAAAAACAAGAGAAACTTTAAAAAACAATATAAAACAAAAAACAATGAAGAACAATAAGAAAAAATAATAAAAACAATAGAAAACAATAAGAAAAACATGAAAAACAATTTAAAACAATTAAAAATAATAAAAAACAATTTAAAAACAATAAAAAACAATAAAAAAACAATAAAAAAACAATAAAAAAAACAATATAAAACAAAAAACAAAGAAGAACAATAAGAAAAAAACAATAGAAAACAATATATAACGATAAAAAACAATAAAAAACAATAAAAAAATAAAAATGATAAAAAAAAACAATGAAAAAATAATAAAAAACATTAAAAAAACAAAGAACAATATAAAACAATAAAAATCAATAAAAAATTAGAAACAATAAGAAAAACCAATAAAAAACCATCATAAACAATAAAAAACTACCAAAAACAATATGGTGATTCCGTTACAACTAGTTTTAGTTAAATTAGAAGCCAAAACAAAAAGAAGGAAAGGGGGAAGAAAGGAAGATAAAGTAATAAGAACACGATCAACAGAAAAAAGTAAAGAAGTGTCAATAAAGAAACTAACATATAAAGCGCTAGTCAGAAATGGTCAGAATACATTGATTAATACCAATTTCAAAAGATGTACAGAAGACAAATTCGTTTTAGTTTTTCTAAGAAAGAATATGTTTACAACGGTAATGTATATTGGATGGATAAGTGGAAAGACAATACAAACAATAAAATACAATAACAAACAATAAAATACAATAACAAACAATAAAAAACAATAGTAAACAATAAAAACCAATAAAAACCAATAAAAACCAATAAAAACCAATAAAAACCAATAAAAACCAATAAAAACCAATAAAAACCAATAAAAACCAATAAAAACCAATAAAAACCAATAAAAACCAATAAAAACCAATAAAAACCAATAAAAACCAATAAAAACCAATAAAAACCAATAAAAACCAATAAAAACCAATAAAAACCAATAAAAACCAATAAAAACCAATAAAAACCAATAAAAACCAATAAAAACCAATAAAAACCAATAAAAACCAATAAAAACCAATAAAAACCAATAAAAACCAATAAAAACCAATAAAAAACAATAAAAAACAATAAAAAACAATAAAAAACAATAAAAAACAATAAAAAACAATAAAAAACAATAAAAAACAATAAAAAACAATAAAAAACAATAAAAACAATAAAAAACAATAAAAAACAATAAAAAACAATAAAAAACAATAAAAAACAATAAAAAACAATAAAAAACAATAAAAAACAATAAAAAACAATAAAAAAACAATAAAAAACAATAAAAAACAATAAAAAACAATAAAAAACAATAAAAAACAATAAAAAACAATATAAAACAATAATATATAAGGCTCGAGATGCTTTTGATTTTTTAATACAATTCCTATTAACTGAATGTGTGACGCTACAACAACTCAACGACCATTATTTCCTATTGACATATCTGACAAGTGACATTTAAATTGCGACAGATATAAAAACTATAGACGTGATACTCTTTGGATTGTACTTCAACAAAAAAGACGTCGATTCAAATGTCGGAACAATTGATACACTGATAATATTCAGCTATTTTTGTTGCGTCTAAATCTCGAAAATATTTTAATTTTGGCATTAATAATCTGATTAGATACTGGAAGCTTTAGCTCGAGAGGTTTTAAACAATTAATTATTAATGTCAAAATTTAGTAACAACAAAAATGTTGGCTATTTTTCTTCAGTCTAATGAAATTAAATAAAAATAATCATACTTGCCTTGAAAAATAATTCTCTTCTCCCTTATTTTTAGGTCTAAGATTGGTCAACATTTTCCAATCGATAGGAACCGATATTAAATCTTCTATTTTCAAATTTTTCATTTCCGGTGGTACGGGATCCAAAAAGGGATACTTCCCTTTCTTCCCTTTCCCAATTTTGTTCGATTTGAATGTGAACTTCTTCTCCTTTATTTTAATGGTTTCCGGTGGAACCTTTTCTGGTTTAATTTTAAAATCTGGAACCTTTTCTAGTAAACGGCGCAGCTCTTCTTTGGAGTTAGCCAATGTTTTCGAAAGATCTAGAATAGGCGCTGTTTCTTTTTTCTTTACAAGAAAATCGTCCAATTTAGCCATATCTTAAAGAAATTAGTTATAAAAAAAATATATATTTATACTAGATGTATATCTACGCTTTTTAATGTTTTATAATAAAAAAATTATTTTTATGGAGTCGTAACAAGTATATTTTCCCATTCGTTTTGTTTATTCAACAAATTGTTCTGTAATTTCGATAATTTGACGTACATGTCATTATTTTCTAAATTCGGTAATGTTTCGCTTGCATTTATTGATGAATCGTATATTAAACTATCCCGTGGAGAATTATTTATTTTTAATATATTATTATCTTCTTTAATCCTTTCTGCAGAATTTTTATGTCTGCAACATCTACATATACAACAGTAGTGACATGCTTTGTAATAAATATGATTCCTACTGCATTCTAGCGGAATTATATCTGTTCTTGCAGATAATTCTTCGCACCTCCAATTGCTTCTTGAATGTCGTTTGTTATTACCTCCCTTTTTTCTATACAATCGTGGAGTACCGTTCAAGCTTTCGTCACTGGAATTTTTATCATCATAAGTTTTAATTACTGTTAATTTCTGCCTTAATTTTCTTCTTTGATACAGCAAATCTTTCTCGCTCTGCTTCACGTACCTTGCTGGGGGTTTGTTAGCGCCCCATTTCGGACGTTCCTCCAAACTTTGGCTTCTACTACGTCGCTCTTTTCTGTTTCTAGGTTCATAACATAAATCTATATTGGAAAATTTCTCTGTGATAGATTTTTCCTGATTTTCACAACAAGAATTTGTGTAGTCTTCAGTTTGTGTACTACTGTTGGTATATGATTTGTTTATAGAAAGATTGACTGGTATATTTTGAGGTATAAGTATTGCGTATTGTATATGTTGTAGATTGTCATAAGGAGTTGGGACTATAAAGGCTAAATTGTTAGGAAATGTAGGAGTTGGTAGATTATTAGTACCAGGAGAGTTTGGTAAACTTGAATCATCATTACTAGCAGTATCGTTATTTTTTATGATTCTTGGAGAAACTGGTTTGATTGCGTTTGTTTCTGAATTGTTATTGACATCATTGTTAAAATTTTCGGTTTTTGCGTCATTATTACTTATTTTATCACTATTTTCATTGTTGTTCAACTCCACCACATTAATATCTGATTTATTTAATACTTTGCTTCTTGTTTGTAAATTATTTAAACTATTTATATAATTATTATGTTTATTCTTTTTAGCTTTAGCTAGTTGCGCCTCTTTTTGCGCTATTTCTATAGCTTCTTCAATAGCTTCTTTCCGTTTCTGTTCTTTTTCTAGTCTCTCTTGCACTAATCTCAATTCTCGTTCTTTTCGTTTGTTTTCCGCTTCTTGTTCTCGTTGTATACGCATCTCTTCTTCGTATTCTTCTTTTATTCTGCGTTCCTTTTCTTCCTGGCGTTTCTTTTCCCTTTCGTCTAATTGTCGAAGGATTGCATCTTGATGAGCTAACGCCGCTTGTCTTCTTCTTTCTCTTTCAGCTAGTTCAAGTGGATCGATAGGGATGTTTTGACCCCTTAAAAAGCTGGCGCTAGAAATAATAAATAAAATCACTGAACCGTGTTGATATTTATGAAAATGATGGAGTGGGCGATGCTGAAGAAAATTAGTCAAAAAGCCCTTACAGATGGTTGAATAATTATATCGTGAGTATACAAGAAGAAGGTGATCAAATTTGCTAAGTAAGTGAGTAAGTTTGAAGTTAAATAAAAAACGAAAAATCAATAAAAAAAACAATAAAAAAAACAATAAAAAAACAATAAAAAACAATAAAAACAATAAAAAACTAAAAACAATAAAAAACAATATAAAACCAATAAAGAATTAATAAGAAAACCAATAAAAATTATTAAAAACGAAAATCAATCAAAAACAATAAAACAAACAATAAAAAACCAATAAAAACAATAAAAAACAATTAAAAACAAAAAAATATTAAAAAAACCAATAAAAACAAATATAAAAAACAATAAAAAAACAATAGAAAACAATAAAAGACAATAAAAAACAATGAGAAACAATAAAATTATTAATAAGAAAACCAATAAAAATCATTAAAAACGAAAATCAATCAAAAACAATAAAAAAAAACAATAAAAAACCAATAAAAACAATGAAAAACAATAAAAAAAACAATAAAAAAACAATAAAAAAACAATAAAAAACAATAAAAAACAATAAAAAAAAACAATAAAAACAATAAAAAACAATAAAAAAACAATAAAAAAACAATTAATAAACAATAAAAAACAATAAAAAACAATAAAAAACAATAAAAAACAAAAAAAAAACAAAAAACAATAGAAAACAATAAAAAAAAATAAAAAACAATAAAAAACAATAAAAAAACAATAAAAAACAATAAAAAACAATAAAAAACAATAAAAAAAACAATAAAAAACAATAAAAAAACAATAAATAACAATAAAAAACAATAAAAAACAATAAAAAACAATAAAAAACAATAAAAAACAATAAAAAACAATAAAAAACAATAAAAAACAATAAAAAACAATAAAAAACAATAAAAAACAATAAAAAACAATAAAAAACAATAAAAAACAATAAAAAACAATAAAAAAAACAATAAAAAACAATAAAAAACAATAAAAAAAACAATAAAAAAACAATAAAAAACAATAAAAAACAATAAAAAACAATAAAAACAATAAAAAACAATAAAAAAAAACAATATAAAACAATAAAAAACAATAAAAAAACAATAAAAAACAATAAAAAAACACAATAAAAAAAATAAAAAAACAATAAAAAACAATAAAAAACCATAAAAAAAACAATAAAAAACAATAAAAAACAATAAGAAACAATAAAAAAACAATAAAAAACAATAAAAAACAATAAAAACAATAAAAAAAGAATAAAAAAACAATAAAAAAAACAATAAAAAAAAACAATAAAAAACCAATAGAGCAACAATAAAGAAACAATTAAAAACAAAAAAAAACAAAAAATAAAAAACCAATAAAAACAAATAATAAAAAACAAAAAACAATAAAAAACAATAAAAACAATAAAAAACAATAGAAAACTATAAAAGACAATTAAAAACAATAAAAAACAATAAGAAACAATAAAAAACAATTAAAAAACAATTAAAAAACAATTAAAAAACAATGAAAAACTCAAAAAGCAATATAGAACCAATAAAAAATTAATAAGAAAACCAATAAAAATCATTAAAAACGAAAATCAATCAAAAACAATAAAACAAACAATAAAAAACCAATAAAAACAAATAATAAAAAACAATAAAAAACTATAAAAGACAATTAAAAATAATAAAAAACAATAAGAAACAATAAAAAACAATAAAAAAATAATCAAAAACATTAAAAAACCAATAAAACAATAGAGCAACAATAAAGAAACAATTAAAAACAAAAAAAACAAAAAATAAAAAACCAATAAAAACAAATAATAAAAAACAAAAAACAATAAAAAACAATAAAAAACAATAAAAACAATAAAAAACAATAGAAAACTATAAAAGACAATTAAAAACAATAAAAAACAATAAGAAACAATAAAAAACAATAAAAAAACAATAAAAACAATAAAAAACAATAAAAAACAATTAAAAAACAATGAAAAACTCAAAAAGCAATATAGAACCAATAAAAAATTAATAAGAAAACCAATAAAAATCATTAAAAACGAAAATCAATCAAAAACAATAAAAAACCAATAAAAAAAATAATAAAAAACAATAAAAAACTATAAAAGACAATTAAAAATAATAAAAAACAATAAGAAACAATAAAAAACAATAAAAAAATAATCAAAAACAATAAAAAACCAATAAAAACAATAGAGCAACAATAAAGAAACAATTAAAAACAAAAAAAACAAAAAATAAAAAACCAATAAAAACAAATAATAAAAAACAAAAAACAATAAAAAACAATAAAAACAATAAAAACAATAAAAAACAATAGAAAACTATAAAAGACAATTAAAAACAATAAAAAACAATAAGAAACAATAAAAAACAATAAAAACAATAAAAACAATAAAAAACAATTAAAAAACAATGAAAAACTCAAAAAGCAATATAGAACCAATAAAAAATTAATAAGAAAACCAATAAAAATCATTAAAAACGAAAATCAATCAAAAACAATAAAACAAACAATAAAAACCAATAAAAACAAATAATAAAAAACAATAAAAAACTATAAAAGACAATTAAAAATAATAAAAAACAATAAGAAACAATAAAAAACAATAAAAAAATAATCAAAAACAATTAAAAAAAACAATGAAACAACAATAAAAAACATCTGAAAAGTTCAAGAAAATCAATTATAATGCAATGATTTTGACAGTCGCGCGGTTTCAGTTTGTACCCTAGAATAAGTGTTTGAAATAAGCTTTGTAAGGACTTCCTAACTGATTTTCTTCAGCGCCTCCCAGTCTACAATCCTTACCGATTATTTGAATAACTAGACGACGTCTGTGGGCGCTCTTCATCAAATACATGTTCTGGAGACTCTGCAGGCGAAGTATTATTAACCATAATTTCTCCATTTTTTAAACCTCGTTTAACCCAATTAGGAGGTTCATTCGTTCCTACTTTTTCAACTGATTCCTCTTTCGGTGGCCAAACTTTGTTTGTTCCTATGCTTCTATTACTCCATTTCAATCTGTCATCTCTACTAGAGGACGATTCGTATCCTGATTGGTGCCAGGTTTGGGCGTAATCTGGAGATTGAATGGCATTGTCGCTACCATAACCGGAAGTCTCACCGCCGATTTCTTTTTCTTTATCGTAAGAGTTGTATTGGTTCTTATAAAGAGGTGGAAGACTGCTTCTCTTCATTTGTCTTGCATGTCTTAAAATAAGGCGAAAATTGAAGTAAATAAGATAAAAGATCACTTAAAAAAATGTCGAAAAATAGTTAACAAACAAACGTATAAAACAAACGTATATAACGTATAAAACATAAAACGTATAAAACGTATAAAATGTTTGGTATATTATATAAATTTTGTAGTATATATGTTTAATATTAATTTAATCTAATATTTAGTATACTATTTTTATAAAAATAAATGTTGGTACTTAATATTGATAGTTTACTATTTTTTATAATAAAGTAATAAATAAATAGCATTTTAAATTTTTGTTCATTACAAATCTTATTAAATATTGTAGATATATACCTGTCAAAATTTTTAAAATCTTCCTCAGCCACACCCCAAGGTGCCTTTAACTCTGCGAGTTCTTCTGAAAATATTAATTTAAAAACGTTTGTATTTTAATAGTTATTTTCTGTTTTACCCTTTTCTTTTGCCCATTGTAGCTTCTTGCGTTCAATTAAAGAAAGTGGAGAAGCAGAATTTACACTCATTGACCTAATTTAACCCGAAGTTGTTTCAAAATATTTACGTTAAGCAAATATTTGAACACTGAAACAAAAAAGGAAAATTTTCAGTAGATATTCATATTTTATGATGGTTTTCTGGATTTTCTTCAAATAGAACCAACTTTAAGTCACGGCAAATAATAATAATAATATCCGTCCCTTCCCCACACAAGCTTAGTCGGCTTAAAGATTCTGTTTCATATTGTTTACATCCAGTTATAGATAATATGTTTTAAGTCACAATAACTATTTTTCCTAATATTACTAATTACAATGTAAAATCTTTTTCGATACCAGTGTTCAAAAAAATGTTTAATATTAAATTGTAACCACGGATAAGACAAATATTTACTGCTACAAACTATCGGTGCTTGTCAGAAGGGATGTCAAATTTACTGGTAACGGAAAATTAAGAAAGATTAAAGATTTATACAGGGTGTCTGTAAAAGGTCTTTACAAAAACATATCACATATTCTTTAGACCAAAATAAGTCGATTTAAGTAAAATTACCTTAGTACAAAGTTGCTTCGTTTGGGCTCCAAAGGGCCTTGAATTTACAATTTTTAAATCGTTTTTCCCATATAAATTTAAAACGGCATATGCGATTTTGCTGAAATTTGGTATATTGGTAGAGTTTTATGTGGCAAAAAAATGGTATTAAAATTTTGTCCGATAATAATACATAGGCGTAGAACTTGATTTTTTAAATAATTGCACCTCTAAAAATTCTACGCCAATGGAAGAAAAGGAGTTTGAGTATGAAATTTAGATTGCGCAACTCATTTACTTTAAAAAAGGTACTCTTGATAAGATTCGATTACTCTCATGGTTTTCGCTAAATTTCTGTTTTAATAATTTAGAGTGTATAGGTTTCACAAATATATTTATTTACAACATAATCAAAATAGAGATTTTACAAAAATTATTCAAAATGTTCCCCATTTTCACGCATACAAAGATTTATACGTCGAAGAAAATTAAAATGTATCCTTTCCATAACTTCTTCATCACCTCTAAGATTGTTTATTGCATCTTGAATACGTTGCCAGAGTTGTTCCTCATTTTCTACAGTTTCCCTGTAAACTGTGGATTTCAGATGTCCCCATAAAAAGTAATCCATCGGTGTTAGGTCTGGGGAACGTGGTGGCCAGTTTGCAGGTGCGTCATTACCTCTGCCTATCTATATTTGTGTAAATATTGTTAACACAGCTTATACAATACAGCTCCACAACTCCGTGTCGGCGTCTTTGATCTGGCGGTCGAGAACCAAGCAAGACGGAATGGTGCTATCTCTGTTAGATTCGAGGGAAAAGTCGGGCCCGGATTAAACAATTTTTTTATTATTGAAAAAATTGAAAACCTTGGCGTAATAAGGTTGGTTACATGCCATATTAAGTAAGTTTTGGGAAATTAAATTTTTAATTTGTTTTAAATCTGTCAAATATAATTAGAAACATTATTTAAATATAAATATTACGAAAAATAGCACATCTTTCGGATTAGAGGTAAAATAATTTGTATGTGGCTAGTAAAATCCTCGTTAACAAATGTTTTGAGCTAAAACAGTCACTTCACGACAAATTGTGGCTTGGATCCTTTTTACACCAAGGGCTTCAATTGTTAAAGAATTGTGTCACGCTCGTGGATGCAAATCAAGTGGTACCCCGTGTCTCTGGCAAGTGTTACTCTTCGCGCAAAGGGTTTATACCTAGATAAACGAATGCTTCGACTGAGGTCTGGGAACTCTATGGTATTTTGGAATTATAAAGAATTTGTGCTTTTATTTTAACAATATTGGTTATATTTAGATGTATTCTTATTAATTGAAATACAGATTTGTAGAAGTAATACTTTGACAGTTTTTATTAATATAATATATTCAATTTTTATCTGACCATACCGAAGTAGGAAATTTTGAAACTTTATAGTAATGTGAAATTTGAATTACAATATTACACGATATTACATAATTAGTACTTATTTTAGGTAGGTACTAAATTTGTACTTGGAGAAAGTAATATCGATTTTTACAAGAAAACTTGAAAAGTAAATTAATTTAGTTCCTATTTCTGATGTAAAACTTAAGTTTTGGTTTAAACCAAGAAAACAAATAAATTATAGTTTGTTCAACAAGGGTGGTTATGATAGCAATATCACACAAAGACGAAGTTTGAGCACGACGTCGTAGGCGGAGTACTCAATCGTCTGATTGTGATATGAACAATCCACTCGATATGGTCAGTATATTTTTTCTACGACCCACTAACGAAAATCTACAAATTTAAAAAATTATTTTAGGTTATTTAGACAAAATAACTAATTTTAAAATAATTTACGAAGTTGACTAATTTATAAAATAAAATTAACATGAAAAATTAATTAGTCCTCGGCCTAGATTCGATCCCGGGCTTTTCGCGTGGAAGGCAGATGCTCTGTGCTCATCTTCACCGAAACTTTCAGGACTTTAGTTTTAATACTCGTAATTAAATTAGTATCATGTAGTTTGATTAAAGTTTATTTTTTTTTTAAATGTGGACACAATAAAAACAAAAATGCTATTATTTATCGAGTCTACACAAAAATTTTAATGTATATTTAATATCAATAACTAAAATATATATTGACAATTAGTTTAACAGAATTGTCACTTATTTAAAAAAATTTAAATAATAGGAGTTGGGTGACCAAAATATGAACTGTGATTTGTAGATTTAATTTTGTTAAAGTGTTCTCACTACCTAAAATGGATATGAAATATATTCGTAGTTGAACGCAATAACATACTATTTCGTTTTGTAGTATGTGCATAGATTGGCTAATATCCATGCACAGATTACAAAACGAAAAAGTATGCTATTGCCTTCAATTGAACGAATATATTTCATATCCATTCTAGGTAGTGAGAACACTGCAAAAAAAAACAAATTCGCCAATCACCGTTCATATTTTGATTAACCGACTGCTATTATTTTTAAAATTTTAAATAAATGACAATTCTGTCAAACTAATTGTCAGTATATTTTTTAGTTATTGAGATTAAACATACAATAAAATAAGTTATTCTTTTGGAAAACGTTAGCATGGATGACTAAAGGGTATTGGGTTAATTAATTCTAAAAGTGTGGTACAAATGTTATTTTTTGTAGCCAATTCTTCAAAATTATTTTGAAATATCTTTTCAATATTGAATATTAGTTCTACAAATTCATCATTTGACAGTTGCAGATTTCCAAATGTATCTAAATTGGCGTTATCATATGCCTTTAAAAAGCAATAAAAAGAAAAATCATCTAATTCAACGTGATCTTTGTTATATTTAAGACAGGTATCGCAGAGGAGTGGATCCGCAAGGCTTTTATTAAAAGGTAACCACACACATACCTGATAAAAATTTTCTGTATCAATTCGTCTTTACAATAATTTAGGGTGTTAATAATTTTATCATAAAATAAAATACAAGGTGTTCCATTTAAAAAACATACATTTTAATTTGCCAGGCAAAAACGTGACACCCTGTATATCCAAAGATATTTTTAAAATATGTAGGTATTTTTCAAATCCATATAACTTTTATTTAAAACTTTCTTGCGTGTCTACAACAAAATAATGAACAATAACGCACTAATGGGATACCCTGTATAAATTATATTTTTAACAATGAAAATTTCTTATAATGTGGTACTTATCGGTTTGGGTCCTTGGGAAAACTAAAGAATGTTTTCTTGCAGGTATAACCCTTATTAAAACAGCTTTTGATTGCACAAACAGAATGATGTCTTTTTTTTCACTCATTCTACTCATAGCTAAAGAGTCACCAAAATAATAACAGTACCTTTAACTCAAACAAAATCAACGAAATTATAGGCTCCACGAAATTATACAATCAACGAAATTATAGGCTCCACGAAATTATACAATCAACGAAATTATACGCACGACTCAACACCTTACCTAAGTACGCTTCTGAACACCAAAACCGTCTTTTCCCTTCGAAGGCGGAGCTTAAGCGATGCGCGACGAAATCGACGCAAACCGTTGCCGCCAAGAGAGTGTTTTAGCTGTATTGTATAAGCTGTGTCGGTATATTCTGCATTGGTATATTGTACAGCCATATTAATAAACCATGCATTTGTTTTTTTAATTATTGAGTCAGATAGAACACTTTCAATCGTTTTAACAAGAGATTAGGTGTTAAAACTTGACAATATTTTTATTTAGATGAAACTATGGAAACTAACAATAAATGTTTTTGTATACGTATTGCAGGCAAATAATTAATATTCCTCAAAAAATCGTACATGGCAAGAATCGAGTATTTTTGTTAAAAATCTCGATTAGAGGTGTTGAAGAAGTTATGAAAAAAGTACATTTTTATGTTTTTCATCGTATAAAATTTTGTCCGATGATAATACATAGGCGTAGAACTTGATTTTTTAAATAATTGCACCTTTAAAAGTGCTACGCCAATGGCAAAAAAGGGGTTTGAGTATGAAATTTGGATTGGGTACTCATTTACTACAAAAAAAGTACCCTTGATGATACTCGATTTACTCTCATGGTTTTGACAAAGTTTGTATTTTAATAATTATTGTTTATGTTCTAAAATTACTAAAATGCAAATTTCGTCAAAACCATGAGAGTAATCGAGTCTTATCAAGAGTACCTTTTTTAAAGTAAATGAGTTGCGCAATCTAAATTTCATACTCAAACTCCTTTTCTTCCATTGGCGTAGAATTTTTAAAGGTGCAATTATTTAAAAAATCAGGTTCTACGCCTATGTATTATTATCGGACAAAATTTTAATACCAATTTTTTGCCACATAAAACTCTACTAATATACCAAATTTTAGCAAAATCGCATATGCCGTTTTAAATTTATATGGGAAAAACAATTTAAAAATTGTAACTTCAAGGCCCTCTGGAGCCCAAACGAAGCAACTTTGTACTAAGGTAATTTTACTTAAATCGACCTATTTTGGTCTAAGGAATATGTGGTGTGTTTTCGTAAAGACCTTTTACAGATATTTGTAATGCAAAATTTTGACATTCAAAGAAGTGATTGGCGTCTCTAACCGACGTATTATTTTTATTTTATTGTTACGTTTGAAAAGTACCTCACGGAGCGGAGTAGAGCTAGTAGATTTTTTAGTCACGTGATCATCGAGCAAATCGAGTTTATGTGGATTTGTTTGTGTTTCCCGTATCCGGTTTTCATTAAAATAACAAACGTAAACCTTTCTTTTAAATCAAATTTGATCTTTCGTCTCGTGGTTTTTGTTGCATGTTGCCAAGTAAAGTAAATTTTTATCTGTGGTATTTTTCGCTTTCACTAGAAAATAAACCATGTTCTCATTTCTGTCTGGCATGTTTTATAAATATTTTTTTTAATAACCAAACACATATGAAAAAGAATAAACTGCAATACAAGAGACAACGAACGATGTCTATACATCTCAGAAAAGTACATCTACTTTGTCAATTGTCACAGAAATTCCATTTACTACGAAAGCTCTAAAATTTAACTCTGAGTAAATAGATCTTACTCGATTTACCAGCTCTGCATTAAAAGACCACGTAGCAGATCCCATCGAGAAGCCGCAGATGTATTAAAAGAACGACTTCGAGTAAAAAGAGCAAAATGAGGTAATTTTCAAACGCAGCAAATGAAGATGGATTTAATTTGACACTGATAGAATAGAAGTATTTTTTTTTTTTGGGTAAACCAAAATTGTTGACTATTTGAATTTTTAGAAACATCATTGTATTGGCTTATGAACATTAATTCTGTACTAAAAAAAATTCCAACACTCATGAATAAAACAATAATTTATCACGGCAGTGTGGTGTTGCAAAAAAATTATAGATTATTATATAAAGTCTTGCGCAAATAATAGGATCAAGGGGAAACAGAAAGTAGATCATGGAAAATTAGTAGATTAAATATTGAGAATATAATTTTTGAGAAAATAAATAGAAAAATATGACTGAATTCTGCAATTATTTATTAGTTTAATCATAAAAAAAGATTGTTGATGTTTTTGTTAGGTACATATAAGGTTTTATTGACTATTTTAATATTTACTTCTTATATTGATTTATTCGAAAGTAATATAGACATTGGTGAACAAAAAAAATCAACAGTAAGATTGTCCATATCCACAAAATAAGTAACTTAAGGTATTATTATTGTAACTAACAAAAATAGTTAATTTTAAACATTAAAAGCGTAGATATACCAAATCTTTAAATATTTTTCTATTAATTACTAAATTCTAGGTATGTATATTTAAATAATTAATGAAAAATCTTACCTTTTTATTTCGAAGATTTTATCAAGTACGTCAAAATAATAAAAAAGAAAAACACTTAAAACTTACTAGCTATGTCACCATTTCATTTAAACAATGAAACTGAAACTGTGACCATGCGGGATATATGTATCTTGTATTTGATCAATCGTGTTGTTATGGCGACCACTATTCAAACAATTTATAGGTGAACAACCTTTCTTTTTGCGGAAGATTTCGTGACAGGGTTTTCTTTTAAGTAGATTGGCTGAATGTTCTATTTAGGTGTGTATAAAAATGTTATGAAACAATCAATAAGTAATTAATAATGTATTATAACAAATAAATTAAAAATCTGATGTATCTAGTTATTATAGACTTTTTCCGGTTATTTTGTACAACCTATTGCAGCATCTCTATAAATGTTTAGAGGATAAACTAAATATATACATTGTCCACATACATCTACCTCGAAACATTTATCTATAGATATTTATTGAAAACGAAAATACTGAAAAATTTAAATTTAGCACTTTTCCATTACGGTCCATTTTAGAAAAATCATGTATAAACAAAAATTATAGAGATCGATATTTCACGTCAGGCCGAAATAAACCTAAAGTTTAAAATTTAATGTTTTTTTTATCCGTTTTTAAGTTTTCTTCAAAATTCGAAATTTACACATTTTCTCAAATATCTCGAATACGGTCCATTTTAGAGAAATTATGTAAAGAGTAAAAATTTAGAGAATTATATTACAAACAACTTTTATTTGAACAATTTTTATAAAAAAATATTTTTTTACATTTTGTCAAATTTCTCGAATACGGACCATTTAAGGAAAATTTTGTATAAAACAAAAATTATAGATAATAATATTAGAAGTAACTTTTATTTAAACAATTTTCTTCTCCAAACATAAATAACAGATATATTCCATAAAATATAAAAACGGCCTTCCATAAAGTACCCCCCTAGATGTGCCGACTTTGTCCAAAATCTAATCATTTCACGTCAGGCCGAAATAGACCTTAAGTTTAAAATTTAATGTTTTTTTCTATATCCGTTTTTGAGTTTTCTTCAAAATTCGAAATTTACACATTTTCTCAAATATCTCAAATACGGTCCATTTTAGATAAATTGTGTATGGAATAAAAATTATAGAGAATTATATTATAAACAACTTTTATTTAAACAATTTTTATAAAAAAATATTTTTTTTACATTTTGTCAAATTTCTCGAATACGGACCATTTTAGGAAAATTTTGTATAGAACAAAAATTATAGATAATAATATTAGAAGTAACTTTTATTTAAAGAATTTTGTTTTCCAAACGTAAATAACAGATATATTCCATAAAATATTCTTAAAAATTAACTTTTTTTACTGTTTGTGAAATTTCTCGAGTACGGACCATTTTAGGAAAATTTTGTAAAAGATAAAAATTATAGAGAATTATATAGCAAACAACTTTTATTTGAACAATTTTCTTCTCCAAATGAAAATAACAGATATATTCCATAAAATATTCTTAAAAATTTTAATTTTTTACATTTTGTAAAATTTCTCGAATACGGACCATTTTAGGAAAATTTTGTATAGAACAAAAATTATGGAGAATAATATTAGAAGTAACTTTTATTTAAAGAATTTTGTTTTCCAAACGTAAATAACAGATATATTCCATAAAATATTCTTAAAAATTAACTGTTTTTACTTTTTGTGAAATTTCTCGAGTACGGACCATTTTAGGAAAATTTTGTATAGGATAAAAATTATAGAGAATTATATAGCAAACAACTTTTATTTGAAAAATTTTCTTCTCCAAACGTAAATAACAGATATATTCCATAAAATATAAAAATTACCACTTATAAAGTACCCCCCCAGATGTTCCGACTCTGCCCACAATCTAATCAGTTCATTAGACGCTGAAATAAAGCTTAAGTTTAAAATTTGGTGTTTTTCTGTGTATCGGTTCATGAGTTATGCGACCTACAGACACACACACACACACACACACACACACACACACACACACACACACACACACACACACACACACACACACACACACACACACACACACACACACACGCACACACGCACACACGCACAGACGCACACACGCACGCACGCACACACACAGACACACACAGACATCATCGCGAAAATAGTCAAAACGGATTCAGGGGACCTCAAAACGTAAAAATCCGTCGAAAACTCGAGGTCGAAAAAAATTATAATTCCTATATCTGTATACAGATGAGAAAGTAAAAATTTGTAGGTGTAGACACATGTGTTTTTGTATTTGTTATTAAGTCAAATAAAAATGACTGCAATAGGAATACGTAATTTGATCATAATATACTTTTTTTTTACACGTTCACTGTCTGTTTAAAGAGTTATGTTGTCTTTCCTAACATTTAAACTTTTTTTATTAAAAACCGCATGCTTAATCATATTATACGGGGTGTTTTTTAAACATGCAGTGAAAATTCAAGGGGTTTTTCCTTGAACGAATATTTTGTTTTCTGATGATCTTCAAAATTCCGTTTTCGAGAAAACTATTTCTATTATTTTTAAAATTATTAATAGTCTAAATAAAAAAAAGGTACTTAATACACTGTGTTAACCAAGAACACAACTTTTTTAAAAATTCGTTATTTTTATTATTTTTTAACAACGTTCTAATAACTAAAAACACCCTGTATATCGTGGCATAAAAGAAACAAAAAATAATTTGTTTAAAATATTTCTGCATTTATACAAATTGTATGGATGGAACAATATTTTCAGAAGTGACGTAGCTCAGTGCTACACTGTCGATGCAAAGGAAAAGACCTCGTTTGTCACAGAACTGTCAGATTAGACTGTGGAACATAACCTTATATTAGGTCTTTTCCTTTGCATCGAAAGTGTAGCACTGAGCTACACCACTTCAGAAAATATCGTTCCATTTATACAAATTTAGATAATATGCAAATAAGAATTTATTATTTTCTTTTCTACACCCCTTTATGACAGTACGTCACTGGTAGACCGGAAACACTTGTCGCTATATTCGTCTAGTTCACTGTCAAAATTAGATCGTGATTCCAAGGTCGTTTAGGATTTCTTCTTCCTATATTTTAAGGTTGTAACCGGACATTTTGGAGAAAACTTTTTGAGGTAAACAACCGTATCAGATTGTTCTACTTTTTACTACTTTCCATAATATGAACGCGGCTTGTTTTTTGACAAGAAATAATCATAATTGATAGCTGAATGTCTGATTATAAGTGGCCGTAGTAATTTGAGAAGAAGATGGCATTTGCATTTGACATTCTGTTTGACATTTTGTAGTTTTCGTAAAAGATTTTGAAAAGTCATCATCAACAATGGAGGCTATGGACATTGTTATACCAGAAAAAGTAAGTAAACAACTCAAAATTAATCGTAATTCTTCGCTTTTGTCATTTTTATAAAAATGTCTCCTTCCAAAATGGTTAAATATTATTATTTTACGTTTATAACATTGCATTCCTATTTAATTTTATTTTTAGGAGGAAGGTAGTCCTTCCGAAGCAAAGCAAGCTTTACAAGACTTAGACACGGAAGATCTGTACACGAAATACAAAAAACTTCAACAAATGTTGGAGTTTTTAGAAGTACAGGAAGAATATATCAAAGATGAGCAAAGGAATCTTAAAAAAGAATATCTGCATGCCCAAGAAGAAGTCAAACGTATTCAATCGGTACCTCTAGTTATAGGACAATTTTTGGAGGCTGTCGATCAGAATACAGGGATCGTCGGATCTACAACAGGTTAGATATAATGTATTCTTGGTTTTTATTAAATAATATGTGTTGTTTTATTAAGGTTCCAACTATTATGTTCGTATTCTTTCGACTATCGATAGAGAGCTTTTAAAACCATCTGCCAGTGTAGCTCTTCACAAACATAGTAATGCTTTAGTAGATGTTTTGCCCCCTGAAGCTGATTCTTCAATAAGTATGCTACAAGCAGATGAAAAACCTGATGTACAATATTGCGATATAGGAGGTAAATTTTTATTATTGTCATATTAATTAATTTTTCTTTTAATAATATGTTTTTTTTTTAGGTATGGACATGCAAAAACAGGAAATCAGAGAAGCTGTTGAATTACCTTTGACTCATTTTGAGTTGTATAAACAAATTGGTATTGATCCCCCACGAGGTGTGTTGATGTATGGACCACCTGGTTGTGGAAAAACTATGTTAGCAAAGGCAGTGGCACATCATACTACAGGTAAACTATTATATAATATTTCCTTCAAACAATTTTCTTCTCCAAATGGAAATAACAGATATATTCCATAAAATATTCTTAAAAATTTTAATTTTTTACATTTTGTAAAATTTCTTGAATACGGACCATTTTAGGAAAATTTTGTATAGGATAAAAATTATAGAGAATAATATTAGAAGTAACTTTTATTTAAAGAATTTTGTTTTCCAAACGTAAATAACAGATATATTCCATAAAATATTCTTAAAAATTAACTTTTTTTTACTTTTTGTGAAATTTCTCGAGTACGGACCATTTTAGGAAAATTTTGTATAGGATAAAAATTATAGAGAATTATATAGCAAACAACTTTTATTTGAACAATTTTCTTCTCCAAATGGAAATAACAGATATATTCCATAAAATATTCTTAAAAATTTTAATTTTTTACATTTTGTAAAATTTCTCGAATACGGACCATTTTAGGAAAATTTTGTATAGAACAAAAATTATAGGTAATAATATAACAAACAACTTTTATCTAAAGAATTTTGTTCTCTAAACATAAATAACAGATATATTCCATAAAATATTCTTAAAAATTAGATTTTTTTACATTTTGTGAAATTTCTCGAATATTTTAGGAAAATTTTGTATAGGATAAAAATTATAGAGAATAATATTAGAAGTAACTTTTATACAAAGAATTTTGTTCTCCAAACATAAATAACAGATATATTCCATAAAATGTTCTTAAAAAATTAGATTTTTTTACATTTTGTGAAATTTCTCGAATACGGACCATTTTAGGAAAATTTTGTATATGATAAAAATTATAGAGAATAAT